AAATTATTATTCATGTTGTTAATAACAGTTAGAGAAGCCTAGACCTTCGCGTTTTGGATCATTTTCTAACTAATCTGTCTTTCCCGTCTTCCTCCCGTTTCCTGATTTTTCTAGGTTTGATGATGCATTTTCTCCCCTACTGACAATAATCAAAACGACGGCTTTTATAGATGGCCTTTGTCTTTGAGAATAAATTTTATTTAATGGAAGAAAAAGTATCTAAAATGAATAATACTTGCAAAATGTAAAACTTACATCAGCTCTTGAATCAACTGAAAATAATGGTTGACTATATATGTTTGATGATTTTTGAATGTGAAAAAAAAGAAGAAATGTATGGTATAAAAATAAAATATGAAAAATTTTATGGCAATTATCTACAAAGAATCATTGAAAATCAGAATGTAACTTGTAGTAGCATCATTACTTCTAGAAGGAATACCGGATGACCAATTGACTCCATTGCTGGTAATACTAGGAGGTTTTATCAAATTATAATCATATCATAAGAAAGTCAAAATAAGTCAAAGGTCTTGCAAAATTATGTCTGAAGCAAGTAGACTGAATTAACAAAATATTTAATTGGGAATTCCAAATTTTTGATGGCCTAAAAATTTCAAAATTAAATATACTCCGATTTAATGTGAACTTTTTCCTTTTTGGTCGTAATTATTTAACTAATTATTGCTCAAATTACGTAGTAAAAATTTAAAATTGATTTTTTTCAAGTTTGTTAGGTATGATTGATATTTCTGAAATTGCAGAATTTTTCTAATTTTCTTAAAACTATCAGAATTTTCTAGAGTCTTTTCATTTCCCTAGTTCTTTTAAAATTACCGGATAATTTTGCAAGTAAGGATTAAATGAATTCTTGTTCTTATCATATACCTATTATCCTTGTTAAATATTCTTGTTATCAGCGTAGTAATACAATTTTGTTGTATCGACGAAAAATGGAATCTCATTTATCGCTAAGGACTTCAAAAGTAAACGTAACAAACGTGACCTTTAATGATTGATTAAAAAAAAGTTTTTGAAAATAGAGGAAAGGAAGAGAGAGAGAGAGAGAAAGAAGTAAAACGAACTGGTTGTTCTGAGAATTATGCTTTCCATTGGTTCGGGTCTTTTTTTCGTTCTCTTCATACATGTCGCAATCGAAGCAAAAATGAGTAAGCTTGCAAATAATGCTTCCTGAAATTTATCTTTGAATTTATTTTGATTATTTTAAAATTTCCTTCGATTTCATTTGAAACATTTAAAATTGATAATCATTTTACTGAAATGTTTACAAGCATTCTCCTTATCCCCAATTTTTAACACTATTAACTACACAATTCCATTTTGCAACAAAAGATCAGGAGATCAGTCTAATTGTTCCTTCTGAAAGCTATATTTTGTGTTTCTGGCAAAATCATGAATCCTGAGAATCAAAGCAATGGATTCTAGAAATCTTCTGGAAAGAGGCTAATGAGCACTCATAATTCATCGGATTTTCTGAACTTTGTTTTTTAAAGAAAAAATAGAGAAAAAAAGAATGAAAAAAACCATGTTTTGACTGGCATGAAATCATTTATAATCAAATAATTTCAAGTTTGTAACATATTTTAAAAGTCTTATAGCTTTGTTCAGCTAGTAATTTCTATTTTCCAAATAACTTTTTCTCTTTTAATGCACTATATGTTTAATGATCAGGATGAAATCCATTATGGTTTCATGAAAATGGAAATAATTTTAAAATGCTTAATTTCATTTTGTTCCCGACAACTTCTATTTTGAGATTCACAACAATGGATAAAGAAATGTGTTGGATGAATGGGAGCACCAAGTTGATTTAAATTATGCTTAATAAAGTTCATTTTCATTTTGCATATACTGCATTTGAAATTGTTAATTTCCCTTTTTTTGTGAAAATTCTGAGACATGTGTGAATTAAGAGAAATTTTTAGATAGCAGTACTTTCTAAGCGGAAATGAAAATCTTCAAAGCAGGCTATGGTTACTTGAAAGAGTTTATACTCAAATTGAGTGAGGGAAATTCATACGTAGAGTGTAACATTCTGAGGAAGCAATGAATAATTCTCAATGAGCATCGTAAACCAAGACAAACAAGCCGTTCCCCCAAAGAATTATACTGAAAAATGACCGCAAATGTTAACAATTTTGATTTTTATGTTATCACAGAAAACAAAACTTAATATACAAATTTTTATCTAAAGAAATACAGAAATTTTGAAAACTTTCGCACTTCAAATTTAAGATAAATACAATAATTTTTTCCGAATCATTATTTAACAAAAAAAGCTGATTAGTCAATTTCTTGAATTTTTTTTTTGATTTCTTTTTAAATGATGCTGAGCAGTAAGCTATTAAAGTAAAAATAATATGATTGGTACAATTTTTTTCTTATATATTTCAGTTTTTCTTGAATTATGAAGTAATAACCTTCAACATTGAAAATTGAATATGTTATTTAATCACAGAATAGATTAGAATAAAATTAGCTGAGCTTATTATTATTTAAATATTAAATTCCTTTTTATCAAATATTACTAGCAGTTTTAACGATCATTGTTGACAGATTTAAATTTGCCAGTCGTAGTCGACCACTTAGTATTCCTAATTACTGTGTACAGTCGGTCAGTTTGTAGCACAACCAGCAAATTGATGTAATACCGTCAAACCGTTTACTACTGAGACATGAAAAATTTTCGTACCTGCCCGTTTACCGCATCACACCTTTCTTTCGCTATAGCTGGAAATCGTATGATCCATGGAACTTAGAATATGTTCTTAATCAGGCAAACAGTATTTTTTCTTCAATGCTTTTCAACTATCATCTGTTGCCTAAAAACGGACAATTAATGACTTAAGCGTACTGTGGAGTAATTCAGCACATGGAAATGAATAATTCAAAACACAGAATATGGAAATTTTGGTTTTATTTAGAGTCATAAATCATACATTTGATGAAATGGTACTATAATAGTGGTACACTACGCCTTAATTTATCCTTGCTAGATGAAAATTACATGAAAACATATTCGCATTTTCCCGATGATCGATTATCCTTCGCAAGATACTTCTGAGAAAAACTAAGTAATACTCAAGATTGAGAAATGATATACCTAGTCATATTTGTAATTAATTACCAATCCCCTATTACTTGCAAGAAATTCATGTTAAACAAAAGAATGATGCTAATAATCGCTTGTTAGTAATATTTGATGAAAGATTTTGATATTCTAATTAAAATCTGAGCCAAAAAACATTCCTAGCATCTTATACTTTTTATAGCTTTCTATAAATTTAAAAAAAAAACGGGAAGAAAAAGTAATTCTTGAATCTTGAATGGTTACTTTTAAAATGAAAAATATCTGCGGGGAAAAAAACGCATCATTATACTTCATATACTTGACCATTCCTACTTGTAAATTAGTAAATAAAACTATTTACATATTGTAAAAAAAATACTTTTGCCAGAATTACTGATAATAATTCCTTCTTTCTCGAAGATGAAACCAATAATGCAAATTGAAATGTAAAGAGCATTATTGAATATCTGAAATTTCAAACAATTTGACATTAAGATGGTATCAATGAGAAATTCGATAGTTGTTAATTGATAGCTTTTATTGTATGCTATCATCAACTTATATTCATAAATGCGAAAAAAAAAAAACCCACTATTGAAATGCGACATTTTACGATAGCCAAAATAATAAATTCATCGAATTTGCATATCTTTACCAGAATCACACCTGAAATGATATATTGCAGTAAATATTTGAAAATTCTTTTCTATAATTCTGAAAAAATCGGAAGCTAAATTAATTTTTGATTATAAGGAAGTATTTGTGTTTAGAAGTATTTGAGTTTACAACAAAAATGCATATATGTAAATCATGTCATAAAAATTGAAATGGTAATGATGAAGTTGTTTAGAAAAAAAAAAGAACATAATACTGAAGAATTGAAATTTAATATCTATTCATGAATTTATATATCTTTGATTATCAAAAAATATTTGAAGTTACGCAGAAATGCAAAACAAATTGAAAAATCTATAATAATAATGAATTTTAAATGCTTATCCTTCTTTGGAATTATTTACTTTATTACTTAAAAATTGCATGTTATCGTAGGTGAGAAAAAAAAATTTTCAAATTGTATTTTTTTTCAAATTGTATAGCATTTCAAAAAAAAATTTCAAATTGCAAAAATTTCAAATTGTAAATTTCAAATTGTATAGTACGAGTAAAATGAATAATATTGTCATGAATGAACAAATATAATGTATTTTTTACACATCTACATTTTAATCTGTTAAAAGATCTAGCTATTGCATGTGCTGCATTGCATGCGTGCATGCTATTTGGCGTGGGAACGCTGCATTGCATGCATGCATGTTATTTAGCGTGGAAGTGCTGCATTGCATGCGTGCATGTTATTTAGCGTGGGAGTGCTGCATTGCATGCATGCATGTTATTAGCGTGGGA